CAGCTCTAGACGCATGTATGTGCGCATCGTTTTCATGATAGGATGGCTGTGGCTCCGCAGCTTTTCTTGTCGCCGTCGCCTCCGACCCCCCCTGCCCCGGAGCCGGCACCACACTTGCGAGTAATCAGCTCGTCGGTCGCACAGCCGCACTCCTACGATCTGGGCTCTCCCTCCCGCGCGGTCCCTTCTTCCCCCCCCACACCTGTTCCCGTCCTCCCGCTTCTCCCTCGGCCGCTGCTCAGGTGAAGCTTTGCCCTCCGCTCAGGTGAAGCTTTTCCCTCCGCTCCTCCCCGCTTTTCCCTTTCCCTCCGCTCAGGTGAAGCTGGGCCGCGTGGTCTTGGGAACGGTGCGGCCGCCGCAGCCGCCTTCTTGCTATGGCTGCGACGGTTCCTGGCGACAGCGGCGTCATCGGGCAGCGCCGAGGAGGGTCACCACGAGAGGGGTCAGCACCACCTCGTGGAAGTCGAGCGCCGAGAAGGAGGAGGGAGGGTCGAGGACCAAGAAGGCCCCGGGCGGCCAGGAGCGTCTTGGGGAGCCCGGGGGGGCCCCAGAGGGTCCAGGGGGCTCCGCTTCGGGAAGGAGACCGCGACCCCCCTTGACTCGTTGTGACCCCCCTCGGCGTGGCCTGCCTTCGGCGGGAGACGCGCCCCCCTCCGCGCGGGAGGGAAGGGGGAGGGTGCCCCCGTGCTGCCGAGCCCGAGCGCTGCCCCGTGCTCGTGGGCCATGGCGGCGGGCACCTCGCAGCCGGGCTGCCCAGAGCTGGGGAGCTGGAGCTCGGCGGCGCCCATCAGAGGAGGAGCGGGCACCGATGCCGCTGCTCGTCCTGGAGGGCCCTCGTCGCCACGGCTGGATTCCCCTCGAGATCCCACTTGGAATGCACCCTTGGAGAGGTCCGGGGAGTGGCGGTGTCGGTACAGTCGGCACTGATTCAGTAGGTCGATCCTGCCAAATCAAGGGGTACCCTTGTGTCCTGTAGCTCGCGACCCATGCCCTCCTACATTCCAATGGCCAATGGCAATGTGGCACTCGGAAGGGTCTGGTGTCCTCTCGCGTGTCCTGTCCAACCGAGTCCGACCGCATCTGTCCCTCCCCCCGGCCTGTCGGAGCACGGGCCCCCCTGTCGGGCCAGAGTGCTCGGCCGGCGCACACAGAGTTCTGCCTGGCGCCTCCTGGTGCCCAGCGGCGCTCGTCCATGCACGGCGGGCGCTCCCTCTCGCCGGCGAGGTCGGTGGACCTGTCCCCCCCCCCCCGTAATGCAGGGAAACCATAGAAAAACGCCCCCCCCCCCCCCCCCCCCGGACCCCCCAAAATGATTGAGTGGGGCGGACAAACAAAATTCAGCCGCCGGAAACTGTTTTTTTCATCGTCCGCCTCCCGGCGTTTGCTTTTGCCCTTTTGGGGGCACTGATTTTCTATTCGTCCTCCTTCGCTCGTTTGATCACCCGCGGCCGCGGGGGGAGGATTGCGGAGGGGGGGCGGGGTAATTAGGGAGTGGTTGAGGGAAGGGGTTTTCGAAGAGGCGCTTGATCACCCTCGTCCTTGCGGACGGCCGCCGGTCGTCCTTGCGGACGGCCGCGGCGATTGGGAGGCGGGGGATGAGGAGGAGGAGGAGGAAGAGGAGGAGGGGGGAGGACAAGGTAGGTGCGCTCGCGTCATAAATGACAGCCGACCCCTCCCTCCCATCCTCACCATGGCGTAGATCCCCTCTCTGCTCGCACAGTCGGATGTCGAGCAGGGCAATGATCCCGAAAGGGTACGCGATGCATTGTAGCGCACGGCGTGGCATGGCGTTGAAGAGCACCACAAAGCGTAGTATGTCACAGCATGGCGTGGCGTGGCGTAGTGAACAATTGCATCACAAATCTTTGCAACGCAAAGCATGGCATCGCACAGCGGCCCCGAACATAACATTGCATAGCATGGCGTTGAAGATCAAAGCGTATCATGGCAGACCGCGACGTGGCACGCAAGCACTATCCCTCCTCCTCCTCTTTCTCCTCCTCCTCCTCCTCTTCCTCCTCCTCCTCCTCCTCCTCCTCCTCCTCCTCCTCCTCCTCCTCCTCCTTTTAATTATTCTTCCTCCTCAATTGCGAGGACGTCCGAGCGGGAACCGCCGCGTGGTTCATTATCTCCATATCCTGCCTGCGCTCTCCTTGCCACACACGCATTCATCGTCTCCCTGGGTGCCGCCACGAGGAACGAAGGGCGCATCGAACGAGTAAGGGCGCCTGGCCCTTACGACGCTTCCCTCAGGCTCAGATCGCGAGAAGGGAGGGGCGGACGAGGGTCTTTTGGTTCCCCTGAACAGCTGCCCCCTTCGTCGCCACAGACGGTCCGCATGCTTTGCCTTTCTCTGCCAGGAGGAGGAGGAGGAGGAGGAGGAGGAGGAGGACGAGGACGAGGAGGAGGCGGAGGAGGAGGAGGAGGACCACGAGCTCGCGCTGAAAAATCACCCCGTCCACCCCCCTGGCCCCCGCGCCCTGGATCGCCACCCCGTGCCCCCCCCCCTGGCCTTCCAGGCGACCCGGAATTGTCAGCCCCCCGCATGCCTGCCCTGCCCCTCGCTATTGCGGGGGCGAGGAGGCCCGCGACACAATTTTTCAATTGTCCGCCACAGAAGCGTTTTTTTTGTTTGTTTTTATCGTTCCCCTTCATTACCTCAGGGGAGGCCGACCGTACCCCCCAGAGCGGACGTTGGAGGGCAAAGGCGGCCTGCTTCTAGGAGGCCAGTCTCTGGAGCCCATGCCAGACATACTTCTCACGTGCTGGCCACCATCGTCTGTGGACATCAGGAGACGTTGCGCGTTACACACTCGGGGGGGATGCGTATGTGTGCGGTCGTTGCCCTCGGCGCAGTGCCAAACGTGGGCTAGCGACGGGCCCCGCTTCCATGGGCGATCGCGGAGCTTCGCCGCCGAATGAGGCGGCACCAGCCGCATATTGGGGGGGCAACCTCCTCCGACCCATGGACTTGGCGACCGCGAGCCAAATCCATGCATCGCTCATCCATTCGGCGGCGAGCGAGGGGGGAAGTGAGCAGGAGAAAGCCTTCTCAGAAGGCGGCGGGATTTATCAGAAGCCTTCGCGCCCTCTGAAGAGCAGTCGTCTGTCTCAGGGGAAGGCTTAAGCGACTTCTCACAGGGCCGGGGATCTCCCGAGCCTTCTGAGAAGGCCCGCCCCTTTCGGGCCCGACGAAAGGGGGGGATTGGGAAAGGGGGGTTACGAAATCCGCTGCATGCAGCAAGTTTCGGCCCCAACGAGGGGCCCCTTCCTCGAGACATGGGCGCCTCCGGCGACAGGAGGCGCCGGGGAAATCAGCTGCGCGAACTGATTCTGAAACCCCCCTTTTGCTATCCCGTCCTTTCGCTCGACCCGCCCCTTCTCACTTCCCCCCCTCGATCGCCGCCGATGACTGCCTGCGCACCCCCCGACAAAAGAGCAGGCCCCAGCTGACTCCCGCGGGCAGGGGGCTCCCGAGGCCCCCCGAGGAGGAGGAGGAGGAGGAGGAGGAGGAGGAGGAGGAGGAGGAGGAGGAGGAGGAGGAGGAGGAGGAGGAGGAGGAGGAGGAGGAGGAGGAGGAGGAGGAGGAGGAGGAGGAGGCGGGGGCGGAGGCGGCGGAGGAGGAGCGAGGAGGAGGAGGAGGAGG